CCTTCTTCAGCCTGACAGCATCCCTCACCGACGGGTGTCCACCATCAGGTTCGAGGGTTGCCGCCGCGACAGGCACGACAACCTTGCAACCACAGCTCTGGTAAGCCGTCTCAACAATAGAGGCACGGAACATGGTCCACTCAGACTCAATGTCCCCCACCTCCCCCGGAACATGTTCGAAGTTCTCCCGGAGGTGGGAGTTGAAACTCCGTCTCACAGGAGACTCTGCCAGACGTTCCCAGCAAACCCTCACAATACGTTTGGGTCTGCCAGGTCTGACCGGCATCCTCCCCAACCATCGGAGCCAACTCACCACCAGGTAGTGATCAGTGGAAAGCTCCGCCCCTCTCTTCACCCGAGTGTCCAAGACATGTGGCCGCAGATCAGATGAGCTGAACTGCAGCCTAGAGTGTCCTGTTGCCAAGTGCACATATGGACACCCTTATGCTTGAACACGGTGTTCGTTATTGACAATCCATGACGAGCACAGAAGTCCAACAACAGAACACCACACGGGTTCAGATCAGGGGGGCCGTTCCTCCCAACCACACCCCTCCAGGTCTCACTGTCATTGCCCACGTGAGCATTGAAGTCCCCCAGCAGAACAAGGGAGTCCCCAGGAGGTGCACTTTCTAGTACCCCCTCCAAGGACTCCAGACAGGGTGGATAATCTGATCTGCCGTTTGGTGCATAAGCACAAACGACAGTCAGAACCCGTCCCCCCACACGTAGGCGGAGGGAGGCCACCCTCTCATTCACCGGGGTGAACCCCAACACACAGGCACCAAGTTGGGGGGCAATAAGTACGCCCACTCCTGCTCAGCGCCTCTCACCAGGGGCAACTCCAGAGTGTAAGAGTGTCCAACCCCTCTCAAGGAAACTGGTTCCAGAGCCCGAGCCATGCGTAGAGGTGAGTCCGACTATTTCTAGCCGGAACCTCTCAGCCTCACACACCAGCTCAGGCTCCTTCCCCACCAGTGAGGTGACATTCCACGTTCCAATAGCCAGCTTCTGTAGCCGAGGATCAGACCGCCAGGGTTCCCGCCCTCTGCCACCACCCATCCCATATTGCACCCGACCCCTTTGGCCCCTCCCACAGGTGGTGAGCCCATGGGAAGGGGGGACCCACGTCTCCTCCTCGCCGAGCTCCATGGGTAAAAGCCCGGCCGCCAGGCGCTCGCCCCACCTCCAGGCCTGGCTCCAGAGTGGGGCCCCGGTGACCCACGTCCGGGCGAGGGAACATCAAGTCCATTTCTTTTTACTCATCATATAATTTAAAATAATTAATTATAAATAAAAATTCCATGCTGATGGTGCGGCTCATCCATCAATCAACCAACTGTGTGTCATGTCCAATCTTACTTTGAAAAACCGCTATAGAGCCAGTCTGCGAAGAACGAACCGTGAAGTATTCAGGGACAGTACAGTGATTTTTCTTTTCTTTTGTTTCTTCGGTGTCCTGAGATGACTTCCGTTGTGACTTGGCACTGTATAACTACATTGAAATTGAATTGAAATACTCTTCATGACATTGCAATGAAGACCTTTAAATGCTTCTGAGATTGTCACATCGGAAACCGTTTTATTAAACAGCTGTTTGTTTTTTGGTTGAAATCACTTATGTCATTTGCATGGGACATGTTTCTGAATATTCTCACCTCCAAAAACTGAAGAAACATATAAAACAAAACAAATTTATTCAGATGATGTTTTAATCATCTTGAAATATTATGAACATGCGTTTCATCCAAATTGTGAATAAGTTATATTTGTATATGTCGCTCGTATTTTATCCAAGCAGCATCTGCTTCCCTCTACAAACTGTCAGCTCTACGAACTGCCTTTATTCGGTATGCAAAGTATTTCTGCGCTACATTAAAATAATAAAGAGGATCAGGTCAAGACTTATAAGGACATAATGGAACAAAAGACAAAATGGACATGAGTTGAGCAGAAACCTGAGAAGATTCAAAGATTGCATGATTTTTTATTTCGCTTCAATAAAGACCGGCCGTCCAAATGAACATATAATAAAATCACTTGTACTGCACCGTTTGCAGAATTTTCAAGTTAAATAAAAGTTGAAATTCTTCAAATGTTGTAGGAAACTACAAATGTTAATCTCTAAATCCTTAAATACCTCTGGATGAATTTTTGTAAAAAGTGTTTTATTTGTAAAAGAGCTTGTTTACAAAAGTATAAAGAGCAATAAGAGCACCGGTGTGGATCAGATTGGGATATTCTTAGATTTTAGAAATAAATTAAATTTTGATGCAAATCTTTAATAATAAAAATAACATCAAGATTTGTCAGTCAGTTATTTCACTAAAAATAACTTGGAGGTTATGGTAAACTAAATGATGTGTTAGTTGCGGGGGTTTCCAGCCACACAAAGGAAAAAGCACTTGTTAACACGTTATGGCATGCTGTGTAATCATCTAGTCAAGTTGCTGGCAGAGGGTGTTGTTACTGTCGTTATTTAAGGAAACACGCTGCTCCCTCATGTGTCAGCCCGGGTGGAGATGGAAGCGATAATTAGCATCACTTTTGATTTGCTGAAGAAAAGATTCTGTGAAGTTTCAGATGTCTTCATTAGTAGATATCTGTGAAGGTATTTGAAACAGAGGCCTCTGTAGTTCAAACTGTCGGTCCTGCATTGTTGGTCTCTGACCTGCAGATCACAAGAAATCAACTCTGAGTGACGAATCAGTTCTTTTCCTCTTCCAAACAGTGCCCCCCACCCCCCACCCCCCACCCCCCACCCCCCTGTTTGTGTGGTTGTGTGTTGTGTTTGTGTGGTTGTGTGTTGTGTGTTTGTGTGTTGTGTGTTTGTGTGTTTGTGTGT